CATTACTCTTTTAGAAAGCCTTCAGACCTATGTAGCATAATGGAATAAAAAACGGTCATTTTTTCCCATCTGAATCAACTGTAAAAGAAACAGGTCCAAAAATCTACAAGAAACAAAAGCTAAGCTTTTGAAGTTCTAGGCAATCAATTACCTGTTCTAACTGTTCTAATTCTTTTAATAAATCATCTTCATCGATATCTTGTTCAAAACCGGCAGGACTACTAATAGCTTCAGCAATTTCATTGGCAACATCCTGCTGTTCAGAGATCTCTTCCATCAGGTCATGAACCTGAAATTGAGAATTCAACTTTAAAATGACAAAAATGACGAATTCAGCTAGAAGTTGAAAAAAATTCCATAACCCATCTGGACTTACTGAGATTTCAAAAACAAAATTAACAATTTTCCATCAATCATATTTAGAAAACCTCGGTACTCCATTACTAAGTCAAGTTGAACAACATCACGCAAAAGTGTTGCGGTTAAAATTCCACTTTCGAAAAAAAAAAAGTTGGTAATTTCATTCAGTTTGCCAAAAAACTAAGTCTTAAAAATAGACACAAGTAAAATACCAAACTCCTAATAAGTATAAAGACTAAATTACACACCTGGTCCACATCCATATTGTGATGTGCTGACTTAAGTGCGTCTGTGGCACCTTTCATGACATTAAGCACCTCTGTATTAGTTGAGGCATTTTCAAGCGCAACCTTTTGGTACTCAAGCGTGTTCAAAACCCCATCGATATGCTCCAACTGCTTTTCAAACTGCTTCTTCCTTTTTAGAGCATGAAGAGCTAACCTTTTGTTTTTAGTTCCATGCTTGCGTGCAGTAGCAATTTCCTGAAAAAAAAGAAGCAACTAGTGGGTAAACCAACAGCGACAATACTCTTGTTTGACGGAAAAAAATTTGAAAAAAAAAAAAGAAATGAGATTATCAGTCAGTGATTAAAAACATAAATCCTTCTCCTACAGCGATACTTTCAGCAAATTAATCAGTACTCTGTTGTTAATAGTTAAAAAACAGTAACTATCAAGTTACATAGTTTTAAAAACTGTGAAATAACTCCATTTCCAAATATTTACTTTTAATTACTTTGAAAAAACCAACAGTTTACCAAAGGCAATTAAACAAAAAAATATAAAAGCACCACTAACCGCAGAAATTTTATTTTCCAAAAATTCCTGCTTCTTGATTAGCATGTCCTCTGTTTCTCGCAACCTTTGAATGGCCTCCTGCGGCCCCGCAACTGGAGCTGCTTTCTTCCCCCCACCAAAGATATTTCGGAACAAACTCATCTTCACTTATTTCTCTTCTCTGCGAGGCCGACAGTAAAGCTTAAATTATCTCTGAAATTAATATAATTTGTGGTGACTCCTCGAAAGTAGGAAATTTAAAACTGGAAAGACGAAATCCAGTCAACATTGCCGTTTGGCTTCCAAGAAACTAGCATTAATGTTTAGGTAACCACAAAAGACAAATGAACGACCTAACGTTAACATGAATCCCGCCATGGTTTTCAACCTAATGATCATAGCGAACGTAGTTGACTTTTTAAAAAACTCACTTCCACT